GCTCCCTTGAGATGGTCAAAGAGGTCATCGATCCTAGGAAAGGGATATCGATTCTTAATGGTCAACTTCTTTAACTAGCGGTAATCTGATGCACAATCTCATCGATTTTCCCTTTTTCTCAACGAAGAGAACATGCATTCCCCAAGGAAAAATACTTGGCCAGATGAAACCTTTATCCAACATTTCTTGAATATGGGTCGTTAACTATTTTAGTTTCATTGGTACCATACGATAAGGATTAATAGAAACCAGAGCGAACCCTAGAACTACCTTTATGCAGAACTCTAACTCTCGATCTAGAGGTAAGCCTGATAACTCCTCAGGAAACACATCTGGAATGTATCTAACGGTTCGGAGGTCCTTAAGCATCAGAACTGCGACTCTGGTGTCGACTACGTGGGTCGAAAAGGCTTCACAACTATGCTTCAACATCTTTTGCGCCTTAATGGATGACATGATCCTTGATCCCTTAGATGTCTCACCAAACATCACGATATTGGTTTCATCTTTCTTCATAATCTTTAATGGTCGAAGCTTACATCTCAAACTCGTATCATACTCAAACAACCAATTCATACCCAAAATCAAATCAAACTCCCTAACATTTAACTCCTTAAGATTGGCTGAAAATGTCTCACCTTGAATCTCGACTGGGCTTTTGCGATGAACCTTGTCCACTAGGACATCTAATCTCAAAAGGCTAGACACTGAAACCCCTATATCAGGATTCTCAGTTGGAAGGCTTCACTCTTGCACTAAGTCATAAAAAATATAAGAATTGATGGATCTGGGGTCGACTAAGGCAGTAATCAGAATAGAAAATATGATAAAGGTACCTGAGATTATATCAACGACATCACAATCCTCCTGCGCTCAGATTGTATACTGACAGGAAGTGAATCTAGGCTCAGCACTAGCACTAGATCGAACTGCACCTCTACTGATCTAACCAGATGCAGAACTCCCTCATCTCAAGGGTCCCCTACCCCTTTGAACTGATGGAGCTAACCCCTAGGTCGATGCTAGAGCTACGACTCGTGCCTCAAGATAATTTCGGCTAAAGTGGTCCAGGGACCCATAATAATAATGTAGATGCTCATTTTGTCCGTGGTGTTCTTTTGAGTTCATATGCATATTTTTAATTATTTTCTTTTTCGGATTTTATTTAAGTTATAAGCTGATTAGTTGGCTTATATAGTGTTACGTGTTCTATAGTAGTAATATATATGAATATATATATTATTATGAGTACATATAAATAATATAATACTAATATATATAAATATAAATAAATAAATACTAACTACTTCTTTATTTGTTTTGTTACAGGCCAAATTACAACCAGCTGGACCAAAGTGGCCCAAAAATCAGAATAATCATGCTTGGATGTTCAAGCCCATTTGAAGAGGCCCTAAACCCGTTAGGGTTTTCCCTTAAGAGGTTCCCAGAGCCGTACGCCATGGACCATTGGATCTGTTTGTCATCCAATAGTCCAGATCGAAGGACCACTAGGGTTTTGTCCTATGCCCAGCACCGCTGAAGCCTACACCGTTGGATCTGATGAGATCCAACGGATCTCAAAGATCACAGAGTACCAAGACGGCACCCACCATACATTCCTTGGGACAGCACAAAGCCACGCCTATCGGCCATCCATCAAAACCGAGGTCACCGCCACCTTTGCGCGTGCTCACCATGTCCGAGCCGGTATCCTGCCCACCAAATAAACAGAACACGAGGAAGTAAAAACGAGGATTTTGACTAAAAAATAACGGGAAAGGAAAAAGGGGAGGGCCATTATCAGTGAGAAAATATAAAAATAAACCAACAACCAAAGGAAAAAGATCAGTAGTTATTACCCAACCAAAAAAACAGTCCAAAAAAAAAAAAGAATAAACCATTAGTCCAAAAAAAAATGAAGAGGAGAACTTACCTCTTGAATCTAGGAGTTTTTGTTTCCTTTACTAGGAACCCACGACACGTGAGAAGGTGAACCCTTTATTTTTCATTATTTTCTAGTCATGCATGTCGATTTTAAGCCATGGATTTAGGGATTTGATGGGTTTTAATTAGATCTTGAGGGTTTGGTTAGAATCTAGGCCTTAGGGTTGTGGTTTATTGGATGAGAGGCTCATTATCGGGGTAGTTTAGGAGGTGGCAGACGTGGTGGCTGCCATAGTTGGGGTTACGGCGGCTGAGGGTTTTGAATGGGGTTGGGAAGAGTTGAGAGAAACGGCTGGGGGGTCTCTATTTGGTTAAAGGCTGAAAGATAAGAATGAATTAGGTTAAAGTTTCATCTAAAAAATCCCATATATTTGAGGAGCCATACGACGTCGTTCCAGTGGTGTAAAAACGGTCTCGTTTTGAGTCTGTAGGAAATATCCAGTGTTTTACGATAAGGGCTAATTACATTTCAAGGGTCTGTTGATGTGAACTTTTGTATTTTGGTCATTAAATTGTAGTTTTCGTGATCTTAATTTGGATATTTATATTGTAACCGTTTTTATTTTAGTCCAGAGTTTATGTTATTCCTCATTTCTTTTTATTTCCGCATTTTATCTACAATGTTTGTTATTTGATAATTTAGTCCCGTAGCATGATGGTTTAATTTTCTGTTAGATTTACGTTTTGGATGTTTATTTTTGGCATTTATTATTTTGGTCCTTTTGGGTAGTAATGAATAAAAATTATTATCATAAGACCTTATTTTTTGTTTATAATAAATGGTATTATTAAATTCAAGATTTAGTTATCGACGGTAAATTTTATTATAATGAATGAGCCTTTTGTATGTATGCATGTATTGTATGAGTGCCCTTTAATCTAGGTAAGATTTTAATAAGACAAATGTTATTTTAGTTGTTAATCAATCTAGAATAAAAACTCTTGTTGTATGTAAATATGATTAGGATAGGTTTAATATTTTAAATATTAATAATTAAAATTTTCCGTTAGTAAAAAGTTCATAAATGCATGTAATTATTTTTTTATAGACTTCGAAGTTTGTTTGAATGCCTGGCATACTTTAATTAGTTTTTACATGTTAGCCTCATGTGCATAGCTCGATGTGTTTACAGAATTTAATTAAGGGTAATATCCTTTTAATTTAAAATTATTTTAAGTGGGTTGTCTTAACTGATTAGATATATGCTTTTGACGATTTTAAATTAAAAGTATATCCCATCAGTGACACATAAGAAATTGATTTATCACTTTTAAAATTTGGGAACGGAAGAAAAAGAAATATTCGGCTATTTAAATTTATCGAGAAAAGATAGTTAGAACTTATCTAAGATCTGGTCTCGATATTTGTAAATAATCGAATATTCTTTATCTTTCTAAAGGCTTGGTATTTTTTAATTTAATCTATTTTGGTGTTTCTGAATGTCGTAAAATTCATGTGTTGTTTTGTCGGGGATCATAAACCAAATTAAAATCGAATTTGTAAATTTCATTGCAAAGACATTAATTAATCGACGAGGTACTGATTTAGGGCGTTGTGGGGGGGCTAATCCTTCCCTACGCGTAACCGACTCCCGAACTCATTTTTTGGTAACGCAAACCAAAATTTGTTGTTTTAATTAAAATTAATTTTTATTTAAAATGACAAAACATTTTTGGGTGTCCAATCACACCCTAATCAAAGATTGGTGGCGACTCTTCGAACCTATTTTTTTTATCGTGAATGAATACCAAATTTTTCGAAATGAGAGGTTTTCTAAAATCACATTGTTTTTAATTAAAAAATCAACCATAACGAGAATAATTAAAAATGATGCAGTTTTCTAAATCTCGCGCCTTCACTCTCAGTTTTAAAAATCGTTTCGACAGGTTGGCGACTCCGCTGGGGACTTTTTTTAGAGAATCAGGCCTATAGTCGGTTAATTGATTATCTTTGCAATTGAAAGTTATAAATTCGCTCTAATTTGGTTTTTGATCCCCTGTTTGATTTTAATTTGATTAATCAATAAATAGTTGTACTGATCTGTTTGTTAATGGTTTCAGATTAATTATGTGTTTAAAGAGAATTGATCTTTTGAGTGTTTTGTGAATATGTGTTGTTTTATTTTTGATTTTCCTCACACGCTGCACAGTTGCATTTGCATAACATGAGCTAAAACCCCGCTCTGTCCTATTTAGGTAGGAGTGAGAGACTACTCCCTCGTGTGGTTTTCACCTCCGCATGGGATAGTGGATCGCTCCTGGAGCTCACGCCTTATGGTCCTCGTGATAGTATTCACCTCTGCATGGACATAAGGAGGTGTGTTCCCTCGAAATTGAACTCGGTCCCAAAAGCCTGTGATGGGCCAGGATTGAGGGTTTGGCAGCCCAAGGGGGAACTGACAAGGACAATTCGAGAACCTATTGCTTTAGAACCTAGCCCAGCATATGGTGAACATAGAGCCTGAACTTAGATCGAGCCTAACCCGAACCTTAAGAGTCCCGTGAGGAGTGTACATAAGGAAAAGCTTTTTGGGTCATTTATTTTCATTTTTGTGAATAAGTGCATGCGAACTAGAGATCATGTGGTTAAGTTGAATTAGATATCATGCGGTTAGGTTTTTCTCGTGAATAACAAAGCATGGGGGTAGATATCATGTTGGGTAGGATCTACTAAATATGATTGGGTAGTCAGTATGTGAGGGTAGGTTTCTTTGACAAGTTATTAGCTTTGATTAATTGAGTTGTGTTTACTAACTGATTTCCTTTTGTCTTTGTTTTAATTCTTTTTGTTTTGCATTGCACTATCCATTTTATGGTGTTGATTTGGGGGTCGATGTCCATATAGAAGGCCATAATATGGAACGAAGGTTCAAAAAGAGATTGCAGACAATGCAAATGTTTTGAGATGGTCGGAACAATCACAATTGACCAATGGAGATAGTTTGACGCCTGGGCACATATCAGAGTTATTTGATTACACTCACATCAATGTACGCAAGAATGTTTTGAATGAGCTCAGGGATATATGAGGAAGATGAAAAGCAGCCGACAAAGAGATGTTCTGTCAATTATATGGCGATATACCTTATCTTCTGGAGGTTTCAGTTGATCGGAATCTATTTAGAGCCCTGGCACAGTTTTGGAATCCCGCTTATAGCTGCTTTACGTTTGGTAAAGTGGATCTGACGCCGACAATAGAGGAGTATCAAGCTTTAATCCGGTGTCCGAGAGCCCAAGTGGATAGAGTCTATACCAAGCCCCCAATTATTCCTTCGTTCAAGAAGAAATTGTTATCGATAACTGGAATGAGTGAAGATTGGGTTGTTAAAATTATTAAGAAGAAAGGAGATAGTGAGTACTTTCCTTGGTCTGATCTGTAAGAGATAATCAATCGTCATCCTGATCAGAGAAAGAAGCTTGACATGCTGGCTTTAGGAATTTATGGGCTCGTTATCTTTCCAAAGGTGCTAGGGTACGTAGATATATCGGTTGTTGACCTGTTCAAAAGATTAGACAAGCATGTGGATCCTGTTCCCGCCATCCTAGCAGAGACGTTTCATTCTTTGAGTTCTTGCCAGCGAGAAGGAGAATGACGCTTTATAGGACGTGCACCCCTGCTGCTAGTGTGGATCCTTAGCCATTTCAAGCACGTTGAAAGGGCACCAGGTCGGGTGTTTCTAGATGGGTTTTCACCTTTGAAAGATTTCCTTTCAAAAGATTGGCCTGGAGGCTTTACCGAAGAAAAATGGATGGTTATCTTCAAAGATATCAGAGACGGTGATGTTTTATGGCGAGCTTCTTGGAATGTCACCTCAGACATACTTTACAGGTGCGGAGAACGGGGTTGGGTCCCTTTGTCGGGTATATGGGGCTCTGTTGGATATGCACCTCTGCTAGTTTCCAGACAATATGGGTCAAGACAATTCATTCCTTTTACACATGACTTGTCAAGATCAGATTTTGCGTTCAAGGGAGATCAGTACAAGAGAAGAGTCAAAGGGGTAGCTGAAGCTTGGAAGCAAACTCATCGGGTAAACCTGTTCACCTTTGATTTCGAACTATCACCAGAGTACGAGTAGTGGAGAAGTAATCGAGTAAACGACAATATCCCGATGGTGAATCCTGAAAACATTCAACCTATGGAAGAGCATTTAACGATAGTTCCATCTCCATTAGAGTTAGCTAAGCGTGATTTTGAGGTGGAAAGAAGACAGTGGAAAACTACGCTGTAAAAGCTAGAAGATGAGGTGTATCAGAAAGGGTTAGAGATCGATATCCAAAAAAGTAGAGCGGATCGAGCTGAAAAGGCAGAGAAGCAACTTCGGTTAAATTTTGACGACCTTCAATCAACTTACCAGCGAATGGTGAAAGATGGAGCAGCCTCCAGTTCAAGCAAATAACATGTTGAGTGGAGGTGTGAAGTAGCTAGCTTGAAGAGAGCGGCCGGGGATAGTCAAGAAGAGCTCAAGCAAACCAAGCATCAGGTCAAAAGTTTGTTAAAAGAAAAGAGTTGTTTAGAGCAATGATTACAAGAAGGTCAATCCCAGAACGAGAAGCTGAAAGGAAAGATCTCCAGTTTAGAAGTTGCATTACGACAGTACCGGAGCTGAGAGGGTAGCTCGAGCCGTGGAGAAGTCAAAAATCTGAAGAGGCGAGTAAGTGAGCTAGAAGCAATGGTTCAGGATTTCTAGAGACAATCAAGTGAGTTATCAATAGTCCCTTATGAAGGGGATGTTCAATGTCGGTTTCGATGGAAGCAAGCTCAGGCGAGAGTCAAACGAGGAGAGGACCTTATTACTTGTTACTTAGGATATGCTCCGGGGATCGCACAGTATTTGGTCGACCTATCTCAAGAAGCTGCTACTATAGGCAAAGAACTGGATCCTGAGGCTGAAGAAAACCAGAAGATCATGGAACTGATAGCACCTGTGCAGGAAATAGGAGAATCAGTGCAGATTTATCTGTGATATGTTTCAACCTTGTAATCAAACGTTGTTTGTAATATAAAAAGTTGTTCTAAGGAGTCGGTCCAGGATCAACACCTCGCATTTTGCATATGCATCATTTTATTATTTTTGCAAAGCATTTCTATTTTCTTGCACCACACTTTATTCATTCATAATCATTTATTTCATAATATAGATATTAATAAAAGAACTATGTGACAGAGGAATTCTGGGACCTTCTAAGCATCCATACAACACGAGAAAGAGAGCAATGGAAGATAAGATTATTCAAATTGAAAAAACTCAGCTGGAGTTACAGAAGAATTTAAAGAAGATGCAAGAGGACCTGATCAGCGCTCAAAATGATATGCTCTCTAGGCTAGCAAATATGTTGGAGGGGAGAAATCCGGATCATGGAAAGGCCCTTGAGCAAAGAACTGAAGAACCCCTTTATCAGTCTCAGAATGGTCAAGGAACGTCCGTCCCTACTAGAGTACACATAAATCCTGTCAACACGGCTGAGAATCTACAACCGGGATCTGGTTCACATCCCGAGGAAAATCCATATCACCAGGTCCCGGACCTTGATGAGGAAGCCAAGGGATACAAAAACAAGCTGTTTCAATAACAGTACAAACAGTTGGCCAGTGAAGTCCAAGCTATGAAAGAAGACACCAGCCTGTACGGACTTGACGCTAAGGAATTGAGTCTAGTTCCTGATTTGATCCTGCCTCCTAAATTCAAGACTCCCGACTTCGAGAAATATGACGGTACCAAATGCCCTTCTGTCCATATTACGATGTTTTACAGGAAAATGACTGGGTATATAGGGGATGATCAGCTACTGATCCACTGTTTCCAAGAAAGCTTGACTGGTTCAGCATTGCGGTGGTATAATCAACTAAGAAGGGCTGATGTTAAGTCGTGGAAAGACCTGGCCAAATCATTCCTTGACCAGTACAAACATGTGAAGGATGTCAGGCCAAATAGAATGGTGTTGCAAGCAATGGAGAAGAAGCATAATGAAAGTTTTAGACAATATGCTCAGAGGTGGAGGGAGGTAGCAGTGCAAGTCCACCCACGTTGGTAGAGGAGGAAACAAACCTGCTTTTTGTTAATACTTTGAAGGCTCCGTTTTTCTCACACTTTATCGGTAATCCTTCTCGAAGTTTTGCTGATATAGTTACAGCGGGAGAAATGATTGAAATGGCGATCAAAAGTGGGAAGCTCGAAGGAGGAGAGTCCAGCAAGAAACCTCCGATGAGGAAGAAGGAAAACGAGGTGAGAAACGTAAGGCAATATAATTCCCATAATATCACAGTCTCTCGACCTCAGGGGATGACAACACCATCCCAAAATAATAACAGACAAGGGGCAAGGGATCCAGTGAGAGAGAGGTCTCAATTTGATCTAATTCCGATGCCTATAAGGATTTATTTCATGAATTATACGAATAACATGTGGTCTCACCGTATCATATGCCACCTATACAACCCCCATATCCCAAATTGTACGACGCTAGTGTTAAATGTGAATACCATGCAGGGAATCCTGAATATTCCATTGAAAATTGCACTGCGTTCAAAAGGGTCATCCAAGCATTGAGAAGGAGGAATGTCATCAATTTTGGTGACAATGAACAACCGAATTTAGCCCAAAATCCGTTGCCCAATCACGCAGGGGCAGGGATCAATGCAGTTACTGAGGAAAAGGGAAAGAGGATTATAAAGAAGGTTGGTGAGGTGGTATCACCCATGTCTTGGGTATGGAGCCAAATGGTTAAAGCGGGATTGGTGAAGTCCAATCTGTCAGGTGACCAATATAAAAGTGAAGAGGTATGCCACTACCATAATTGCACAGGACACAATATACAATAATGTCCTGATTTCTTAGAGCTGGTGCAAGAAATGATGGACAATAAAGAAATTGAATTTTTTAAAGAAGTGGCTGAAGAAGAAGAAGCAGAAGTTTGCGCTTTTGAGGGATCGTCCAAAGGGGTCTACAGTGTTGGTCATCCTCTCATCATTACCCCTAAGAATCGAGTGATTGAGAAGATAGCTCCAAAGGTGATTATTACACCTCTATCTCCGTTCCCATACAAAGCTAATAAACAAGTACCCTAGAGATATACTTGTCAAATAGGAGAGGTGGAAAAGCAACAAGAAGAAATAGACGAAGTGGGATATATGACCAGGAGTGGTAGATGTTATTACAAAGAGCCGAAAAAGAAGACTGTTGCTGAGAAAGGAAAAAGTATTGACTTGCAGATAAAAGAAGATGATCCCGTTATCAATGAGTCGATATCGGAGAATGAAGCAGTGGAGTTTCTAAAGTTCTTGAAACATAGTGAATACAGCATTGTTAAACAACTACACAAGTTACCTGCCCGTATTTCTGTCCTATCACTTCTTCTGAGTTCAGAGGCTCATTGCAACGCTTTGTTAAAAGTTTTGAACCAAACCTTTGTCTCGAAGAAGATACCAACAGAAAAGCTGGACCGCCTGGTTGCCAATATACAAGCCGATAACTTTTTATATTTTTCTGAGGATGAGATCCCTGCAGGGATGATTGGAAATCATAAGGCTTTACACATTACAGTTCGGTGCAAAGGGTATGTTTTATCCAGAGTGCTGATAGATAATGGTTTTGCGCTAAATGTGATGCCCTTGGTGACTCTAAAAAAATTACCGGTTGATAGTACCTTGATGAGAAATTGTCAAAGTATGGTTCGAGCTTTTGATGGAACGAAAAGAGAAGTGCTAGGCAAGATTGATATTCCTCTGACTATTGGTCCATCGATATATGAAGTGGAGTTTCTTGTGATGGACATTATGCCTACATACAACTGTTTGCTTGGGAGACCTTGGATTCATCAGACCGGTGTTGTTCCGTCAACTTTACACCAGAGGTTAAAATTTGTAATTGATGGGAGGCTTATATGCATACATGCTGAAGAAGACATTATCGCTTCAGTCTCGACTATGACTCCATACGTTGAGGTGAAAGAGCAGGCTGTTGAATGCTCTTTTAGATCGTTAGAATTCGTTAATGCCACATTTGTGGCCGAAGGAAAGAAAATCCCAAAGCCTAGATTGTCAAACTGCACCAAAATGGGACTTAAACTGACTCTTGGAAGAGGAGCGAAGACTGGCAAAGGGCTTGGATGCCAATTGCAAGGACCGGTGAGTCTGATATACCCTACAACTAAAAGAGACATGTTTGGTTTAGGGTATCAGCCAACTTTAAAGGAAAAGCTGAGGGGTATCAAGAAGAGTCAAGAATTGAGAAAAGCAAGACTGACTGGTGAAGAACCAAGCTGGGAACCCATGACCTTCTCTCCATTAAGCAATACTTTCGTGTCAGGAAGGCATATATTTCAAGGGACTTTGGGAAGCGGTAAAGTAATAGTTGAGAATGCCTTGGAGGATTTAGGCATTAATGTTATAATCGACGAGGGTTTCGAAGAAATGAGAGCTATGGACATTTACCCTGCGCCACCGGGCTTTGTGTTGAACAACTGGACTGTAGAGGAACTGCCTGTAGTTTACAAATCTTTTACAGAGTAATACACTAGAACTCTTCCCTATTGTTCATACCCTGGGGCAATAGGTGATTTGATGTAAAGGGTTAAGCTGTGTGTTTTTACATGCTTTCAATAAATGATGTGTTTTGTTAATTCCCAAATGGCAAACATTTTTCATGCATATCATTCTTGGCTGTATATGTATATATTATTTCTTTCTATCCATTTATATGGGAAAAGATTCTTCCATATGCATATATGTATATATATCCTCTTTTCTGTTATTCTTTTCAGGAATTTAGATAACAATAATGCAAATGTTGATGACCCTGACCCGGAGATTAATTTCGAGATGCTCATATGTCAAGGGGAAATTAAAGGTTGTGATGATAATGAGGGATGTGAACTACCTTCTGAATTGCTAAAGATGGTGGAACAGGAGGAAAAACAGATTCTGCCTCACGAAGAGCATACATAGATTTTTAATTTGGGTACGGATGAGGATAGAAAAGAAGTAAAGATTGTTACTACCCTGTCTATTGAGGGAAGACAGAGTTTGATAGAATTACTTCAAGATTTCAAGGATGTATTTGCCTGGTCGTACGAAGAT